ATACAATTACTTGTAACGGACAAATACAATATCCAAATGTAAATGTAGGATCAACGATTATTCATAAACAGTGTTATTGGCTAACTAAAGTGAATGCTAGTGGAACATTCCAGTGGATAAGAACATTTGCAAATTTACCTTGGGACCCAATAGTAGGAAAATATGTTGAACGAGATGCTGCCATTTGTTATGACAATGAAGGTGGTCTTTATGTAACAGCTGGCTTTGATGGTTTAACTAAAAAGTTTGGGACAGATACGATGAGCAGTGTTGGTGGTCATGATATTTTTGTAATAAAATATGATACCTTAGGAAATTATGTTTGGTCCACAAAAGGTGGAAGCAGAAAAGACGATTGGAGCAATGGTATTTGTGCTGATAAGCAAGGACATATTTATATAACAGGTGAACATAGAGATTCATTAATTGTAGATACCATTTTGGTAAAAAACTATGATAAACGAGATGTATTTGTGATAAAGTTTGATGCAAGAAGTTTGTATGAATATGCTGCCGAAATTGAAGGAAATGGAAAAACAGAAGATACCTATCCTTATTTTAGAGATGTAAGACAATTTAGAAATTCGTTGTTGTTAGAATTGCCTAATGGAAATTTTGCTGATACAATGGCAAAGTGTTTCTTTTTTGATGCCTATCAATTTCATTTTTATACAGCATTAAAAAACAGTACTGATACACGTTTAGCTGCTATTGCAGAAAAATCATTGAAAGAAGTTACTTATCACCTTCGTTTTAGCTCTGAATGGGTAGTACGTTTAGGTGATGGAACCGATGAAAGCAAACAAAAAATGCAAAATGCAATTGCTGAACATTGGGAATATGCAGGCGAATTGTTTTCTCCAAGTGACATTGAAGCTGAAATGATTGAAAAAGGAATTGCACCGAACATAGCTGATTTAAAAGATGCTTGGCAAAAAACTATTGCTGACACAATTGAAGAAGCAACAATTTCTTTTCCTTTATCGAACGAAAAAAGTTGGTTTCAATCAGGTGGAAAAAAAGGAATTCATACAGAATATTTAGGGTTTATTTTAGCTGATTTACAGTATATGCAAAAGACCTATCCAAATTCGGAATGGTAGAAATGAGTTGTCAGATAACGGAAGTCGGTTGTCAGGCTTGTTTTATTTTTTCTTTTAAGTGCTAATAAACAATGATTTCAAAAGAAATAATATATTCTTATTTAGAAAACGTTTCAGATCCTGAAGTGCCTGTTTTATCTATTTTAGATTTAGGCATAGTGAGAGATGTGAAAATTAATGCTGATGAATCGATTGAAATCTTAATCACACCAACATACAGTGGTTGCCCTGCTATGCAAATGATAGCCATGAATGTGAAAATGGAAATGTTTGCTCAAGGAATAAAAAATGTAATAGTAACAGAAGTTTTATCACCAGCCTGGACAACCGATTGGATGACTGAAAATGGAAAACGAAAATTAAATGAGTATGGTATTGCATCTCCTCAAAATAAATCAAATGAGTATATTTCTATCGAAGATTTAATTGTTCCTTGTCCAATTTGTAAATCTAAAAATACAACTGTAATTAGTGAATTTGGTTCAACAGCTTGTAAATCGTTGTATCGTTGCAATGATTGTTTAGAGCCGTTTGATTATTTTAAATGTCATTAAAATTATCGCTTTGATTTTTCTTCTTCATAAATTAATTGCTGAAAACTCATGGCTTTATTGTAAAGCTTATTTACAGTAATTGTGTCTAAATTTTCTGGATGTTTTATGAAAGTACTTTGTTGGCTGCAAGCAGCATATCCATTATCATTTATGTAACCTGCAGCTCCATAAATAATATAAAATGCAGCCGATTTTGTATAAGGATTTAAACTATTTCGAGACCAAGGAAATGCATCACTTTTTATATTTAATTGATGTAAAATAGTTGAATTAATATCGAGTTGAGAAACTATTTTGTCATGTGTTTTTCCTTTAAACTTATCTTTTAAAGCACCACCTAAAAACAACATAGGAATGTGATGATGTGCAGGATCTAAAGGGTCGTGTTGTTTAATTGTATTTCTGCTATGATCAGCTACCAAAATAAATAAAGTGTTTTTATACCATGATTGTTTTTTTGCTTCGTCAATAAATTTTCCTAAATGATAATCACTATAAAAAGTAGCTTCAGTATACTTTTTTTCTACATCATCTTTGCTTGATTGCCATTGATTTTTCATTGTAGGATAATCATAAGGCATATGTGTACTGGTTGTAAAAAAACCTTGTATAAATGGCTCTTTTTTAGAATTGATAATTTTGATTAATTCAGGAAATAAATATTCATCATGAACACCTAAACGACCTTTAGGAAAATTATCTAAATCATTTACATCTCTTACATCATCAAACTTTTTTTCTAATAAATATCCTTTTAAATTTCCAAAAACTAATTCACCTCCAAACAAAAAAGAACTGTTGTAACCCAGTGGTTTCAATGCTTCACTAATGCAAGAAATAGAAGGAACTTTTGCTGGCTGATTTACAAGTGCTATTCTACTAACGGATGGTGCAGAACTCAAAATGGCAGGAACACCTTGGTCTGAAACGTATGCATTGCTATACATTTTTGTAAATAAAAATCCTTCATCACAAAGTTTATTAAAGTTGGGTGTGCAACCTTCTACACCTCCTAATTTTGAAATATTATCAGCACTCCAACTTTCTAAAATAATGTAAATTAAATTTGGTTTTGTATTATTTA